TTCCACAATCGCCAGTTGGTCCACACTCCTTGACGCTCTCAATATGCATCTAAGTGCATGAAGCTTCCTCTTTCTCTTTGCTTTTCTGGCTCCCTCTCATTCGCATTCTCTTTCTTGGCTACACTCTGGGCTTGTCAGTTCCTCAGCATTGCCAACAAAACGTTCGTCATTTGCTTTTGTCTTTCGGTTTGTTTGCACACGCCGTTTCTTGCAGCAATCCTTTGCACTTGCCAGTTGCCACGCCCCCGTCCAGCCCAGCCTCACCCTCGCCCTCACCCTCGCCCACGCCGCAGCTCAGCTCAGCTCTGCTCTGCTCGGCTCGGCCCCTGCAGCTGTCAGTCAATGTGTCGTGTCACAATGTCTCTCCATCTGTCTGTCAGTTGCATGTCTCTGTCTATCTACGTGACATCAGCCCAGCGAGTTTTGCTCCTTGCGCAACTGCTTGCAAGCTCAAGCTCGAAGGATGTCGCCTGGCCAAGGCGAAGGATGCTGCTAGAAGATGCTGCCACTCCTGCTCCTACTGCTGCTGCTGCTGCTGCTGCTGCAACCGATGGATGGATTTTTGGATTCGCAACTTGCACTTGGATTACAAGTCTGATTTTGATGCGTACATGCTGTACTCGGTCTGTATGTGTGTGTGTGTGTGCGTGTGCGTGTTTGTGTGTGGTTGGGTGGTTGAGCGTGTGGCCCACAAAATATTGCACTGGCTCAGCGAGCTTACTCAAACTACTAAATGGGTCAATATCCACGTTCATAGCCACACACGCCCACACAAACACACACACACACACATTGCTCAAGTTTTCTTATGCTTTTGTCTTTTGTCCTTTTATTATTTTATTCCTGGCCTTGTTTTAATTCACAGCGTCGTCTGCTGGCGCGTCATCCTCTGGCATTCTTGGTAGACTTTGTCGTCCTTTGGCAACGTCTCCAGCAACATTGTCTCAGTCGCATCCTTGGCTAGAATGTTTACACACAGCTACGGATACACACACACACATGAGTGCGTATGTGTGTATGTGTGTGAGTTGTAAGTGACATTTGCAATTTTCAAACTATTGAATGAGTGACAAGTTCTGCAGACACGATTGAAACTGACAGCTACGTACTGCCATGCACTCTCGTATGCCTTCAGCTACAGCTACAGCTACAGCTACAGCTTTAGATTTAGCTACAGCTGAGGGGCAGTCCTAGGTCCTTTCTGCACTTTGTACTCCTTGCCTTGCCTCGCCTCCCAGCCACCAACTAGACTTGCTCTGCAAACTTTTAAATACTCGGCTATCTTTAACGTTTCGATCGAGTCTAATTGACTTTCACGCATGCAGACGCCTTGATTATTTATTCAACTACCCAAAACTTTAAGGCATTGAATGAGTGTGGGATCTGTTGGCATGATTTCTAGAAGAGTTTTGACTGGGCGGATATACTTGCGTCAAGTTAGCAGAAATGCTAAGCAAACTGAGAAAATCATGAATAAATATTATACGAAACTCATATGAAACCACCTCTGATACTTGTCCAATTTTACACAGTTAAACTTCTTTTAGTAGTTGTTTGAGCGTCTCTTAAACATGTCTAGTGTCTAGTGTCTGCACTGGCATATTAGATCGTTAAGATGGCAATTAAATGCAGCCGACTTACGCTGCAGTTAAGTCTTTTGTAAGTTAAGCGGAATCACATAAAGGTGTCTAGCAGAGCCGATTGAGCTGGCATTTTATGTGTGGCAGGCAGCCAGAGCAAGGAGATCACTATAGTGAATTGTGGCGGCATTGTGGATGCTGCAGTGCAGCAATTACTCAGGCTAATGCGTCATTTGCATAACATCAATGCGAATATAACAATGAAATGCCATATTAAATAAAGGCCAAAACGCACTGACTTGTCGCATGTCTAGTTGATGGCACGACAGACAGACGAACAGACGGACTCACTGACTGACTGACTGACTGCATGACTCACTGCCCATTAACAATTTAATTTGTACTGTCGCAATCGGGCTGGCGGGAGGCAGAGGTGGAGCTCGCCTTGCCTGGCTGTACGTCAATGTCAACATCAATGTCACATCCATTGAGGGCCAACAGGCGAACGGACATTTTGACAAATAATTGAAACCGCATTTTATAATGAATTCAACGCATGGCCCACAGTTAGAGGCCCAGACTGAACTCCGACTCCAGCTGCAGCTGCAGCGACAGCTACACCTGCGCCATGTGGAGTCTGTGTGGAGAGACGAGCACACATGCATGCATAAGCACAAACACATACATGCACATGTCCATTTGATCCGGGGTCTGTGTCGCACTGTCTGTCTTGCCGAGAGATTTATGCTGTATAAATTCAATACTGATAATCGCCAAGATGAGCCTGGCTTATTTTTGGCGCTCTTAAGTGCTGGGAGGTGCGTCGATGCCGACGACAACGACAACAACGACGACGACGGCGACGACGACTCAACGATGACTCCGTCACTCACGCATCATCCGCGCCTAAGTCGTTAACTGATGATTTTATTGGCCAGCTGAATTCGTCGCACAATGTGTCCGGCTTGGCGCTCTTAAATGTCAATCGTAAATTTGAGTTGAAGCATCGCGAATGCATCGCCAGGCAAGTGGGCTTGATTGGATCAACTTAAGCAGACTACCGAATGCACTCTTGTCTCAATTTTGGCAAAGGATTTTAATAATAGTTGGTCTACACAAATATTTCATAATATGAATTTCTTATATAAACACCTATTAAATATATATATTCTTATATAATTTATTTAAGAATTTTTTGGCTAACTAGCACTCACATACAAAGGTTTTTAATTTGAATTTATTAATTTATACTTATAAATTAAATAAAATATTTTATATAGAAGTCAAATAATTTATTCAACCATATTTTAATAAAAAAAAAAAATTTTTTAGTAATGGTAATTAAAATAATAATATTTAAAAAAAAAAAACATAAACTAAAATATTTTGTAAATTTTAAAAATTTATTTTATATTCAACATCATACAAAATATTCTGTGTACAAATATATACATACATATTTATTTGTGATTTTGTGAACATATGTATGTATTTGTAATATTTACTTAATATCTATGTTAAAAATTTATATTCTTTAACTTATTATTTAATAAATACTTACAATAAATATTTTATTATTAAAAAATTCAAAATTCGATATTTTTAATTAATAATGCATAACACACTACTTAAGCGTAAAATAAATAAATGAATAAAAGTTATAATAGTTCACATGGCTAAAGTGCATTTGAAAATAGTTTGCCCAAGGCTTGTAGAGCCCTTGAAGAAGCAGACCACACAGGCACACTCTGGAGCATAGGGAAATGTGATTTATTAGTATTAACACCATTCAGAGCTTTGATATGGGCCATGTCCCAGTCCATGGTTAAGTACTAAATGCGAGAAGGACAGATGCAGTTGATTGAGGAAGCTGTTGGTTAGTCATGTGGCTAACCCGTTTCGGTAAGTGCTCATATTTACATAAGACGAACTCATTAAGCGAACCCTAAGCAAATAAAAAGGAGAGAGGGAGAAACAGAGAGAAAAAACAAAAGATATTCATATATTAAGCGTATTACGGCCGCTGACAGCTGCCATCATATTCGAAAGCCCCATCATCGACATCATCATCATCATCAAAGTCAATTAACATAAAAGGTGATCCAAAAATAACAGCAAAGTATTGATGGAAGTTTATATTTTTGGCGAAAACAATTGAACGACTTTATTTTTTATCGGAAACACCCAGCGGCAGCTGCTGCTGCACAATGTGTCCGGCTTGGCGCTCTTAAATGTCAATCGTAAATTTGAGTTGAAGCATCGCGAATGCATCGCCAGGCAAGTGGGCTTGATTGGATCAACTTAAGCAGACTACCGAATGCACTCTTGTCTCAATTTTGGCAAAGGATTTTAATAATAGTTGGTCTACACAAATATTTCATAATATGAATTTCTTATATAAACACCTATTAAATATATATATTCTTATATAATTTATTTAAGAATTTTTTGGCTAACTAGCACTCACATACAAAGGTTTTTAATTTGAATTTATTAATTTATACTTATAAATTAAATAAAATATTTTATATAGAAGTCAAATAATTTATTCAACCATATTTTAATAAAAAAAAAAAATTTTTTAGTAATGGTAATTAAAATAATAATATTTAAAAAAAAAAAACATAAACTAAAATATTTTGTAAATTTTAAAAATTTATTTTATATTCAACATCATACAAAATATTCTGTGTACAAATATATACATACATATTTATTTGTGATTTTGTGAACATATGTATGTATTTGTAATATTTACTTAATATCTATGTTAAAAATTTATATTCTTTAACTTATTATTTAATAAATACTTACAATAAATATTTTATTATTAAAAAATTCAAAATTCGATATTTTTAATTAATAATGCATAACACACTACTTAAGCGTAAAATAAATAAATGAATAAAAGTTATAATAGTTCACATGGCTAAAGTGCATTTGAAAATAGTTTGCCCAAGGCTTGTAGAGCCCTTGAAGAAGCAGACCACACAGGCACACTCTGGAGCATAGGGAAATGTGATTTATTAGTATTAACACCATTCAGAGCTTTGATATGGGCCATGTCCCAGTCCATGGTTAAGTACTAAATGCGAGAAGGACAGATGCAGTTGATTGAGGAAGCTGTTGGTTAGTCATGTGGCTAACCCGTTTCGGTAAGTGCTCATATTTACATAAGACGAACTCATTAAGCGAACCCTAAGCAAATAAAAAGGAGAGAGGGAGAAACAGAGAGAAAAAACAAAAGATATTCATATATTAAGCGTATTACGGCCGCTGACAGCTGCCATCATATTCGAAAGCCCCATCATCGACATCATCATCATCATCAAAGTCAATTAACATAAAAGGTGATCCAAAAATAACAGCAAAGTATTGATGGAAGTTTATATTTTTGGCGAAAACAATTGAACGACTTTATTTTTTATCGGAAACACCCAGCGGCAGCTGCTGCTGAGGAAGATAAGGAAGAGACTGTATGATCCGGCAGATCAGCTGTTTAGGAATGAAATGGGCGGCGGTGGAGGCTCGATGGGCTCTGCTATCTGCCAGATGTGTGAGCCAAAGGGAAATATTACGACTTTCAATTGATCGCCGATCTGCAGTGTTTCATAGTGAAAGCCATCGGCAATGCAGACAGTAGTCTTCTCCTCTGCCAGAGATGGATTGATCGGCTCCAGGCTGACATTGCAGCTGTTAAAGTAGAAGGTGTTGCAGTTCAGTGTGGCGACCAGCTGATAGAGACTCTCCACGCATTCGTTCCAGATGCTGATGCTCTCGAATTGCAAACTCTCGTTGCTGCACCACTCGACGATCTCGAGGTTGTCCTTGAAAGATCGCAAACAGACGACGCCAGTGGGCGGGGAGCCCAGCACTTTGCTCTCGCAGTCGCAGACCACAATGGGCGAGGCGAATGGGGGCGGCACTCTGTCCTCCGAGGCGCTCACAATCTGCAAGTCCAAGCTGCTAAGCACATTCTTCGTCTTGCGATAATTGGGATGGAAGGCGGTTTTAAAGCTCAGCGGCCTCATTTGATCACGGATGCGCGCAATGATCTCTTCTCGAATGCCCTGCTCAACGAACACCGTGCCCACAGCACGCGGTGCGAAGGGATTGTGCAGCGAGTCGACTAGAAAGTGCAGAGCGCTATGGATATCGCCCTCCTTATGGATAATCATGAGCTGGGAATTGAACGCTTCTGCCACGTGCAGATCGGACGCATCGTAGTTACAGGTCTCATTCGAGAAAGCCTCCAGCTCACAAATGAAAAGGTCCTCGGCCACCGAGACGGGCGGTGTTGGTGCATTCGATTTAATATCGTGCATATGCGAGCAACGCCTCAGCCTCTCCTCATCGCTCAGCAAGGTGTGCACCATCTGACTGGTTATGGCCACATCGGTTGGCAATTTCTCCGAGGTCTCCGATTGCACCGTCAGCGACTCATACGATGGCACGGAAACTACATCGTAGCTATTGCGACGCCCCTCGTTCATCATCTTTGCAGCTGGTTAATGAAAGATTTGGTATACTTGAGTAATAGGAATCTATACTATATATAAACATATGTTTGTGTGTATATGTAACTGAATTTTGTGGGAAAAGTAACTAATTGCTTGACATATTTTACAATACTGAACTCTAAAACTTATCCATTCGTAATTCAGCATTTACAGCTTTACCTCCATCACCACATATCCCCTGGCAGGCTTACACAAATTCCTGTTGGGTGGGGTGGATAATAGCCGGTTTTTAGGCTTGTTTGGGGCCAACAAATTGGCAAAACAAAAATCGCACGACGAATTATTTATTAATCGGCAAATTTATGATCAAATGTGACAGTAAAATTAAAATATCACCAGCAGATACAAAAGTGCATGCATAAATTGTGTTTAGGGCGCGAGCCACAAATACTTTTGGATTTGTTGAAATTAGCATTAAAATATTATAAATATAAAGTATATCCAAAAAGTATAATACATGTTTGTGCAAAATATTAAACCCTCCCTTTTTTTTCTCGGCTCTTTTATTGCCAATGCGGATTGTCCTCGTTTCATGGGCGCTTACTACAAAGGGCATAGAATGTTAATTTTTTGCATAAACAACAGCAACAGCAACAGCAACAACAGCAGCAATAGCAATTACTAATAATACAATTAAAAACATTCAAAACCGCAGAATATTTTTGGTATTTTATAGAGGAGTGGGTGTGGGCACAGCGCGGTATTTGTGGGTTAGGCTACAGAAATGTCCAAAGCAAAAATACCATAGAAGACAGAAGCTTGAATTCTCTAACGACATATTGTGGATATTGAAGCTAATGGGATAGTACAAATATATGCCCTGAAGATAAGTATATTTAGGATTGCCCAAAATTGCAGAAAATTCATATTTTATTATATTTATAGCTATAAAATTAAATCAATTTTCTTTACCACTTGAAATATGTACCAAAAAATCTCTCCAAAAAATATATATATTGACAACCAGAAAACAATACTTATATAGATAGAGAGCAACTCAGTTGCAACAACAAAACTATAACAAATAATAACAATGCTCTTGCTAACGATGACTATTTACATTTATCAAGAGTAATTATAATAAAATGCCAAAAATAAAATTTAAATTAATATAGAAAGCCGATTATAGAATAGGGGCCCGCAAAACACGCGACACAGACACACACAATGCGACTCTAATAAAATGCCATTGACACAACAACAACAACAATAGCAACTGTCAAATATAACAAATCCCATAAATCAACAATGCAAATTTGCTCACACAAAAAATAAAATAAAATAAAATAAAATAAAGTGCAAAAAATGAAAATAAATAAAATTAAAATTCAGCTCTACATTTATAATAAATAATCGTATGGGAATAAAAATCTATTTACATGCACTTGACAATAATATCTGCAGATTCCACTATGTCAAGCATGTTGAACAACCAAAACAGTTATATTCACATTATTGATTGACGTTTGATATCGAGTGATATATGTGATGATGTATATAAGATCTGACAATCATATTCGATTCACAGAGTTGATAGCTTGAAAAGGTTCTTTAAATCTCAGATAGAATTCTAGATCGTAGAGTACATGTGATCATATGCAGAGTCTGTCTGCAAAGGATTGCTAATTTTTCCATAAATATCTCTAAATATAAAGTATTTAAAAATTCACTTTTTATCATGCTCTAGTTCCGGCTTCATATCATATCGCCATAACTAGAGACCAGATCTCGATTCCTTATTTCATTATCGGAATAGGCAAAACCTAATCCAGCGCCGAATCGTGTCGAACCACCAGATTGTAAGCATAATAAACTTAGCAACGTGCGTCAAAATTTTGGTGAAATTATCGTAATCTTAAATAAAATAGTTTCGTTTTAAAAACATGATCAAAGCCGCTGTAAACTATTCCCTAGTAGTTGTACTCGGAGTAAGAATATTTTGCAACAATAATAATAATATTTATGAATTTACAAGTCCCAAAGCTCTAATCGCTGACTTCTCCTAAAGTGCATCGTTGTGGTAACAGTCCGCGTAACTCTGCCCAGCATATTGGACTATGAGGAACCGAGTTTGTTTCAGCAGATGAAATTCAATGTGATCAAAGTGTACATATCATTGACGTCCATGATAGTGCTGGAAATGCTACTGATATACTTGAGTGTTAGTGCGATGTACATGGTGTCTGAGTGGCTGTCTGTGTTGGTAAATAGGCACACACACATGTAAATAAGAGTATATCTGCTTGAATGGCTGTTCCATCAACCCACCCACAGTATGTGCCTCTGCTGATATATGGCATGCACCGCACATATGCGCTATGTGTGGTGCAGCTGCAACCACTCATCAGTAGAGACGACGCACACCACTTGCTTCTGCAATACTGGCAGGATTACTTTGAGAACGATGATCCCAAGTGGCTGGACCTGCAGGCCAAGGTATGTGGGCTTTCCCTTTGGAGAATACTCTTCTAGCATGCGCTGCTTTTCCCAGCTGGGCTGTTGCGGCTTGAGCGGTCCTCGAACTTACCTGGACTACTTGCGCAAGGTGCCTGCCGTGTGCTATCGCCAAGGCGTTCTAGTTACTCGCGGATGTGAGTCTGTCGTCTACGATGCATTCCAAGGGGTGCATCAGCTATCCAAGCTGCTCATCTGGCTAGCACTGGGCATAGAGCTCGTCGCATTACTGCTTTACACGAGGCTTATAATTAGGAAATATAGCTATCTAATATGTAGAGGAATTGTGTACAGAAGGGATGAGTGAAAGATATAGAAAGAGATATAGATAGAGATAGCTAAAGCTACTCAGTTTCACCCATTCACTCCTCAATGTGAATTTCAGAGCACCAACTCACTATTTATAAATGATACTTAATTTTTAGCTAAATGTTTCTGATAAAGAACTGTTGTTCTGTTAATACGTGTGATTTATACAGCGACAGATAAACAGATAAAAACAATTCAGATATTTATGTATTTGTAAATAAATTTTTAGAAATGTCAATTTTATCTATGCTCTTTTTGTGGCAGTTCGAAAGGGGGAGTCCGAAGGGCGGCGAGGGGCAACAAATGGGCGCCTGACAAACCTGAGAGAGACAAATAAAATAAATTGAAATTAGCTTCCTTTGTTGCCGTTGACAATTTGAATAAAATTAATATAAATTTTGCGCCCATTTTTAATTAATAAATGTCAAATATTTCGCGTATGGGTATTTATTTGCAAATTTATTTGTCTGATTTGTAAGTTTTTTTTTTTCACTATATATACAAGCATAAATACATATATGTATGTATGAATGCATTTTTTTTCTGCTGCAATATTTTACGGAAATTTTAATTTTACTTTTGTGTTTGTTTGCAAATGCAGCGATAACGAATTTCACAGCTAGTTGTGATGGAAAATGAGCAGAAGAGAGAGAAGGAGAGCGCAGGAGAGCGAGAAATACAGAGAGTGGGAGACGGCGAGCATAAAAAGAGCAAGCGGAAACATACTTTGAACTTTCAAGCGGAAGCGGAAGTCAGCATTAGTAGGCAAAGCTGAATTTTCGCCATTGGCCAGCAGCAACAATGCGCTGCAATTATTAATGCTGGCTTCCAAAAATCCCATTCGTTTATTTTTCTATTTAGTGAATTCTATAATATCAGGAAATCATTTACACAATTTATTACCCAATGGCTTGGGTCAGCCAGGATATTTAGATGCTGAATGCTTTGATGCTGACAATTGAGCAAAACAATTTATTTATATGAAGCAATGTGTGCATAATTTTTTAACGAAATTCCCTTGTGGGAACTTTAAATACATATATCATCAATTAAGCAGTTTAGGAGACTAGTTAAGATATAACTTTCATCTGTTTATAATATGGTACACCAAAATCTATTTATATACTAACTTTCAGCCTTTGTGGGGCAGGGGGATCCCACTTTGCCATTTAAACTGTCTAATGTTTAATGAGGTCATTAAATACCATGTCTGGGGCTGCCCATCATGATAGATAGCTGTGGCAATACTGCAAGATAGGGCTGTATTCTGTCAGCGTTAAATTTAAAATAACAAAAAATAACGTATACGTAGATAATCAAGCCATTCGAAGTCATAAATTTCAAATGCACACAATAAGCGCTAATAAAATAAAAACTGTCTACAACTCGTGTGGCTAAGAGAGGTTGTGGTGGTGGTGGTGGAATGCGAATTGTGAATTGCGAATGGGGCTGGCAAGTGTCAAACATTGGCCATCAGACGAGCACCCAGCTGAGCGAGTGGGTCTTATCATTTGCTCATAAAAATGTCAAAACTATCTCAATGACATTGACTGATGACGATGGCGACGTTCGAGATGATGATGTTGCTGCTGCTGCTGCCGCTGATGACGATGATGATGATGAGGTTCAGGAGGAGCCCAATGTACTCGACACTCGCATGAGGATCTCGTGTGGCATGTGACATGTAGCATGAGGCTGGCTACAGGATGCCAATGCTAAATGCTTTTTGCCAGTGCTACTCAAACGACAAGTGCCTGCCACTTGATGGGGCGAGGAGGAGGCAGGGGAGAGGCGCAGGCGGCAACAACATTCAACACGCATTCACTGTTTGAGCGATTTCAATTTTTTCGAACTGCAGCCAGTGAGACAGGCAAAGCAACGAGGCAACGAGGCAGCCATCCATCCATCTATCCATCCATCAGTGTTGAATGAGAGTCGCTCTTGAAGCCATCATCAGCATAACCATCCTCTGGCTGTCATGATTCATGGCTTCGATTGAATTTTGATTGACAATATCGCAAGCATTTAAAGTGTCTGTTTCCCGCATCCGATATCTATGGAATGTGTGTGTTTCTCTCTCTCTCTCTCTCAATGCCCCTCTCTCTTGCTCTCTTTTTCTCTGTTTTCATTCAGTGTCCAATGTCAGTACTTGTAGTAGCAGTAGCTTGACTCCTGGGCTCTGGGCTAAGTGATGCAGCTTTGCGCAAGGGATTTTAAAATCATTTGTCAGCTGACAGATGAATCTTTGATTGACTTCGCTGAGCAATGAATACATCGAAGAGTACTCATCTAAAGGCAATGAATACACTCACTCACACAGCAGAGAGCATGCTCAACAAATGCTTATCGCTGGGACAATTAGATGCGCCCATAAAATATATACGAGAAATTAGTTTAGTCCTAATTTATGGGCCACGAATAGTCGCAGGCTGATGGCTGATGGCTGATGGCTGCAACCCCTTCGCTGGGCGACCCACCTGCCCGACATACACATCGATTAGCGATAAGATCGACACGGCTGGCAATTTACGGCCGCACTCAGATGTGAAATAACAATTTCTTTCTGACATTGATTGAATTAATTTATGAGCCATTCGCACACACCCGTCGTCCAGCCATTGACAACTATTTATGGCACTGGCAATCTGAGCCAAATCAGGGCGATTTGAGTGATTACCTGTTTGCCCAATTTGAGATTTATACTTGGACATTGACGCTGCGGCCCCCAGACAGCTGAATTTACAATCGAGAGCACTTGGAAATGCTACGCTGATGTCGACTAGGCGATAAGGCCTACACGACTTTAGCTGTGATGGATATATTTAGAAATTTGAAATACATTGGCATGCACTATTTTGATTATCAATTTACAGTTGTAGAATTGCTAAATGCAAAATTGTTTATGGAAGAGTTCTGTATACGCCATGCGAGAGTCTCGATGCTCGCTTAATGTATTAAAATCTCATGTGACAACTTGAATAAACTTGAAAGAGCTGACTGGCAACGTTGGCAGTTGGCCGTTGGCAGCTGGAACAGTCCATTGCTTAATTTCATATACTTTTATCCCCGTATTTAACGAAACAAAAAGAATAAACGCAGCTATGCACTGTGGGCTCTCGACTGACACTCGGAATTGGCACCGTGCGGCTCACCCGGGGATCACGTGTCGCGGACGCATTCCAATTTGTACGCAGCGAGCCGCCTGACAATCGCCAACAATCAGTGAGAAATGCGTTCATTTTAGGACATTTTGCACATTAATTGAAAGCGAGTTGTGTGCCGTGGACAAACTGAATAAACTGAACCCCGGCATTTGGCATTGGCATTGGCATCCGCGGTGCACCAGCCAAATGGTTTTTAATTATTTTTTTAAATTTATAATTTTTGTTGCAACACTGAATGACGACCCACCCACCCACACACACACACACTCACACACACACACGCATGCAGCTCGTAAATAAATTGAAAATTATAACGAATGCAATTTTTATTTGTCAGCCTTTGCGCTATATATTTTAATTTTAATTCAATTGCACGTCTCTCATCGCTCGCGACTTGGGCCACTCGCTTTTCAAATAAACTGACATTTTGACGCAAATTATCCGCTGCGGGCAATCCCAATGCCAGCAGCTATTGTTGATTCATGTAAAGGATTTTTACGCATTTTATTTATTTGTTTTTTACATCCCTTGTTTTTTATTGAAACAACAATTAAAAGTGGAGCCTGTTAAACATACGAAACGGAATTGAGCCAAATCATCAAATAACATAACTTTCCAGTACTCAAACTCTGTTATATGCATTTATTTTATTTAGTAAAAGTTTCTTGGAAATACCATATATGCAATATTATAATTACATCTTTTATTCAACAACAGGTAATTAAAGACTTTCGTTTTCATTCGTATTTAGCGAACTCAACAAAAGGCTTTTTGTTGCTTGCTCTTAAGTCGATTCCATTAATAACCGCAGATGTCTGTAACACTTTTAGTGTGCGGCGATCCGGTATTGAACCATTCCAAGCAAACAATAATATTTATGGCTCACAATCGGAAATTATAACCTATATAAAAATCAAAAAGAGACGAAAGCCCAAAATCATAAATTCAAATCCAAACAAAAAGCATCAACAAAACATATTCAGAGACAATAAATATAAAAATACTCATAAACAGAGCCAGCATGAGCACCACGCAAAATCTATGACAGAGCTCACCATACAAATGTCGTTTGTTTTTCATAGACAAGATACGATACTCTATCTGATATCATCGGGCAGTGGAAGAGCGCACTGCTCTAGATTGTCAGAAAATCGATTTTGGCAATGTGTATAACATTATCAGCTGTAAGAAATTCTGATCGCAATTATTATTAGAGAGAGAGAGAGAGAAAGTAAGAACATATGGAATAGATTTAATCGTAGATCTGAGTGTACTTTCTCGGCATTTCATATATCATTACTGAAACAGCTGAGAATGATCTATCCCACTTCATTCAAAACATTGAAATAACTCTTATTGATATATGATTACAACTATCAAAATTATAGTAGATGAGGTCCATACATATGAAACAACCTTTTCCCATGGTTACATACCCTTTAACAAAACCAATATACCCCTTACATATTTAGCCCGATCCAAGCAGTTTAGGGTATACAAAAAAAAAAACAAAACTCGATGAAGTCAGAATTGAAAGCCGAGTGTCATAAACCATTTGACATTTATCAGTTCGTCAAATTGAGCTAACGCAGAGCTTGTTTCGCTGAGGGACCGTCACGAAAGCCAAAGCAGAAACCGAAACAGAAAATCGGAATGGAAATGGAAATCGAAATGAAAATGTGTGTAGCTCGTTTATGGAGCAGGGTTCGACTGTTAGGCACAAGCTCGTCCGGGTGATAGCTAACAAATGCTTTGTTGTAATTGCCTTTATCAGCAGTGCCTATGAACTCGACTCGATTTCAATGTGGATCAATCAGAATAGGGGCGTATTAGCATAGTATAATGCGTGACGCATCTCTGCTCAAGACAAAAATGTATAAAAGCTAGTAAACAACGTTGTCCTATGTACGAATATGTAGATACACAATAGAATTGGATTTAGATATGTTTTATAAAAGTGAATTTACCCAATTTCTCCTAGGCAACGAAATCTCATACTAGTTTTACTCTTAGTAGATCAAAGTCTATTTTGTCACATATTATTTAGATATTAAATTGATTAAAATTAAAGCTAATTTGGTTTTACGCAAAAGCAAAATAATTCAATGTCTTTGTTATGCACACAGTCGGATTCATTGCCATGTTTGTTGGCCCGTAGAATGGGGCCATTCAGGTCTATTGAGCTTCCAAGAAATCGGGTGGTTGCCTCAAAGAGTCCCTTGCCTGGCAGTGTTTCTACTCGAACCTGAACATCGAACCCGTAGTCATCCCATTCCCGGCTTAGCACATGCGCCGCCTTCACTGCGCTCAACATCAGTTGGCTGCAATGTGCTTCATTTTCTACAACGCGGTTGATTTGTTTCACGACAAATTCAGCTGCCATCAGGGCTCTTTCGTCGTCGGGAGCTAACAGCGTTGAGGTATGGCAGAGGCAATAAGGTGTGGGAATGCCGGCCATTGGACAACTTCGTGTTTCTGGTATCGGCAGGAATAGACTGATACCTCGGGCCATATTTCGACCCAGTGCTGCAAGCTTCATCATCTGGCTCTCAATGTTTGCATCGCGGAGCAGCTCCAAGTTAGTCAGGTCCTTGAGAGTCGCGTGCAGGTCGAAGCTCGTGACGAGACTACGATGATTACGTCGCAGATTCGAAACAGCTAGGGGGTAGGCCTGCTCTAGCCATTTGGGATATATAGCTATTAGTAGGGGCTGCGACTCTTCGAGCATGCCCTGATAGGTGCTGCTATACGAGCTGCTGCGCATTCCATGATCCGACATCAGAAGCACCAGAGTCCTGTTGAGTATCCCATTCTGGGTCAAGTGTTGAAATAACTGAAGATATTTCTCGTCCAGCAACGGGGCATAGTTCAGATAGTCGTGCACGCCCTGCGACTGCCAAAAGAACGAGAAGCTGGGAACGCGCCTGATGTGGGGTGTCAGCTTGTAGAGGAACTCGAGCAGAATATCGGAATACCTGCGACTCCCAGTACAAGAGATGGCATCTAGCTTATTTATGGCGTAGCCCGTGTGATTATGCACCTCTCGCATCACGGGTCGCAGATAAAAGTCCGTGGGCTGTTGGCGAAAGCCAAAGCTGGTTCCAATCATGTCTTCGGCATAGGTCGTATTGTAGCCAGCCGCCTTGAAGTGCTTCCAGAGCAAGCCGCAATCATCGTAGCTTTTTGAGCGATTGCAGCGGGTTGCCTTCAGCTCTTTGACACTCAGTCCGCTCAGGAGCGGCATCAAGTTGGTGTACCAGTCGGCCCCCACGCTGTTATAGCCCCAGAACTCCACGTGGGGCAGCGTTTTGATGTAGGCGGACAGCTGATCCATAGAGCGTAGATAGTGCATATGTGAGATCGAATCGATGCCAATTACCAACACCGATAGACGATCTGCGGACGAGGACTTGAGTCGATCCTTTTGACGATTTGCAACATGCAGAAAGAAATGCACATCGCGATAAATCGTCCGATTGTTGCTATCGACGCACCAAATTCTCAATGTAGTCGATCCATCCACCTTGACTTGGATCATCTGACTGCTTAGCCGAAAAGTAGTTTCCTGGCCATATTTATTGGTGAGATCATCAAGGCGCTCAACTGTCTTGTATGTGCAGACAACATCCGAGACTTTATTGACCGGGAAGAGGCTAAGCACTTGGTCATCCGACATAGTTTGCACTAGGTAGTTCTTGTTCCGTATCGTTTTGGCTATGAAAATGGCTGGTTTACTGCATTTGTATGGGTCCAGTGGCTGGAAGTACGAGGATAATGCCGCTGGCCAAGGGTTGAGGGCGAACATGCGACAGCCCGAGGTATTCACAAAATACCCCTCCTCGATAGGTTGATAGATTGATTGCTGGTCATCTTCGCTACTTCGATTGCTGATGACATAGTAGACCAAAACGCACAACAGCAAGGCCACTAGGTAGATGCGGCGATGTTGCTTGACTCCCCATCCAATGCGCTTCCATTGTATCATTATAAGGCAGATATTAAAACCCAAAACAAAAAATAAAGAATAATAAAAAAAAAACAGATGTACTCTTTAGTCTGATTTAATTTCAACTGATTGCAAATTCACAGTGAACTCATTCCTGAACTCAGACTCTAGTGCTATAGCTCTCATCGTAGTGGTCGTGATCCTTGGTGTGATCGGTTCCATACGCATGGATCACCTCAAACTCGGTGAGGACGCAAAATATCAGGAACAACACATACATGGTTATGCCCACCAATGCGCCCGTGCGACGCAGCATAAAATTGGTTGAAACCGCATACAGAATTGTCAACCCCAGACTTATGATAAGAAAGGTAGAGGCCGTGTCGCCCACAGTGCCCTTGGTGACCTAGATTGCGAATCGAATGCATTATAATAATATTAAGCACGAATGGAAGACAGAATATCGATCACACAGACTGCATTTCGGATAAGATTAAGAGAAATTGAGTCATATATTACTCGAAGTGATTGATACTCCATCTTGAGGAATGAGGAATATCATACTTACATAGTTGTTTCCTGTTGGGCTTGGCTCTATGGCAGAGAAAAGGTATGGTATGCAAACGGACGAAAAGATGGCTGAAAAGAGACATTTGTAGACATTGATCGATGGTTGCGATAGTTGCGATAGTTGCGATAGTTGCGATAGTTGGCTTACAGAAGATAATGGAGCCATAGCAAGCCGAGAAGGCCATGCGCGGCAGGCCTCTACGAGCCAGGCTCAAATTGAGCAGAAGATCCGACCATCCAGAGCCCCAGGTGTAGAGGGTGCAGCCAATGAAGGTGTGACTGCGTTTCACGATAATGCCCACGGCCTCCAGCAAGCAATTCAGCTCCTTGGTCATCACAAAGAGAACCAGCAGGCAGCCCATGAGATTCAATGCCTCCATGGACTTGTACCACCTGGGCACCGTATCCGTGCGCGAATAGAATAAAGCTGCTATCGATAAGGGCAGTAGAGCCACAACACAGACCATGAGCACAAGGACCTTCCTGTCGGACAATTTATCAAATTTCTCAGCTAAGCCAGACGAAGGGGGTACGTCAAGAGATCGCTGCCGAATGCAGGAAATACACCAAATACGAACCAATGAATGCCATGGTGAGAGTGGGCGTTAGGGTTATCTGAATGCACATGAGCAGCTTTGAGTAGGAGTGAGCTGATTGATCCGTATAAATTTCGGGTATAAAGAGGCGCAAGAGAATCATTGGCACCACCTTAACCAAGGCCCACAGCTTGCAGAACGCCCACGGGCTGGAGAACCGGCTTCTGTCCAAGGTGTCCAAGCTTCTAAAGAACTGTAAGAATATTTTATCATTGGCTGACCGTTGTACCGTGTTGGTTGCCGAGCTCGTTCTCACATGGGTTATGTACTCGGGATCGAGCTCCGCAGTATTTCGTATAGACGTACTCAGTGCTGGACATGAAGAGGATTAGACGATTATGCGGGAACTCTTTTAGTGGACAGCTTACCTCGATCCCTGCGATTTTGCAAACACTGATCGATAAGTACAATGGCAATATAAATGGGGCATATGAGGGATAGGGCCACGGCCCACCCAATCGTTATATAGCCTCTGGTGAAATAAATCGTAAAGTCCACAAAGGTCACATAGAGCAAGACGAAGCCCATGGCTCGCAGAAAGTAGCTGCTATCGATGGCCAAGGGCCGCACCCACATGATAAGCGATGTGGCAAAGACGCCCATAAATAGATTAATCGACATCGTATCGGAGTAGCCGTGACGCGACTTATTTTTCAAACCAAGCACGCTGCTGAAAATCGACGGAGCATTGTTGCCAAAGGTCAGTATGGTCTCGCCGGCCACATATTCGTTCATATTTAGCATGCGCGCTATGACTGTGAGAGCTGGCACAAAACTGAAACGATATTCAGTTATCGATCACGCACTGCTCGGCTGGAATACTCACTAGTGAATGGTCGTAAAGTAGATGACCCAGAAGATGAGCACGCACTCGAGCAGCAGCCAGACGGTGCACGCCAAGCCCAGCAGATCGTCCGCATCGCATTTGCAGTAGAAGATGGCGTTGTAGTTGAACAGGAACACCTGGCTTAAGCACGACGGATTCGTGTTTGCATACTTGCAGCGGTCCTGTCTGTCCAGAAAGACGATTCTCTCACAGCTATCCTGCAAATACGAAGACACATCTCTGATAAGAAAATCATTTAAATATCATTTGGGCGAAGACTCACCGGCACTAGCGGCTGCGCGAAGGTTAGATGCCTTCTGAGGCGAAGCGATGTTTGATTTGTCGCATTGAAGCATTCGAAATGGTCAATGCCCATTCTCTCTACTTTTATTACATCAAATTAATACCACACTGAAGAAGGTTGTTTGGGGCTGGGAGATATTATCTAACGACTCTTCCTAGAATCCCTCTTCACATATACTATAATCTTTCTTTAAGTGTATTCTTCCTATTCTAGAGACATTTTCAATGTTAAATGTGTACCTACTATACTGTCCAGTTGTAGAGTTATGTTTCAAGTATTTGGAAAATATGAGATTATATGTATATATGATTAACTTTTCTAGGGTATGGCCCATTGGGGCCAGCAACTTATAATTATATTTCCAGGGGTACCAGGCGAAAAGAAATGAGCAGCTGAGTAAACAGTGCTAGTTAGATTTGAGTTAAGCGCAGTCAACACAATTCACGCATAAAACCAATACATATACATACATATAAACATAACAAAATGGTCGGGGACAGTGGACACAAACCGATCACGAAAGAGATCGTTATAAAGCCGACGCTATCGCGATAGCGGTTTTGTCAGAGTGTGGGTAAATTGCAATTCGTTGAAGACGAGCAGACACTGCTAATGAACCGAAATATGTTAGCTCATTGACAGTACACTGTTGCTGTACTGTTAAGTAAAACTTTTGCAGCTTACCATTTCTGTTCGCCTGCAACTACATCAAAATTTCCATTAAAATTTAAAAACAAAATTTAATATTGCAAAAACAAAATACTATTTATACCCTGAAGTTCAGGGCCTGAACCCATTGAAAATGGGAAATCAGGGTATATATTTACATTTTTTTTTTCTTCAATTTTAAGCAAACAAATATCTTGTAAAAATAATGGTCTGTCCCTCTCTGCTTACAGTCAACAGAATTGTCGCATAGAACCAATACATATGTATGTATATGTTCATACATACAAACACAACCAAATGGTCGGGGACAACCAGATCGAAAAAAAAACCGATCGCGAAAGAGCTCGTTATAAAGCCGACAATATCGGTGGCCCGCTGAGTTTTTTTGTTAGAGTGTGAGTTTAGACGAACAGACACTCACTGCTAGTAAACAGAAAAATGTCGTACAATAACAGCAGGTTGACAGTACACTGTTACTGTACTGTTAAATGAAACTTTGCAGCTTACCATTTCTGTTCGCCTGGAACTTCATCAAAATTTCCATTACATTTTAAGCTAAGGCGAAAAAAAATAAAAACAAAATTTAATATTAAAAAATATTTGCAATTCCTATTTTACATTTTTTTATAATTACTTTTTATTTTATCGTTCTTCTTCTTGTAAAAATAATTTTCAAAAGTGCTGCTAAGCACACAGTCAACACAATTCAAATCAACTCGGGGACAATTGACTCAAACCCATCGCGAAAGAGCTCGTTATAAAGCCAACGCTATCGGTGGCCCGCTGAGTTTGTTGTCTGAGTGTGAGTTTTAGACGAGCAGACACTCACTGCTAGTAAACAGAAATATGTCGTAAAATAACAGCAGGTTGACAGTACACTGTTACTGTACTGCGAAAAAAAAAATTTTGCATCTTACCATTTCTGTTCGCCTGCAACTACATCAAAATTTTCATTAAAATTTTAATATCAGGCGAAACAAAAATATATAATATTAAAAGCAAGTTTAAATTTAGTAAACACAAATTATTAAATTACATATGAAAAAATAATTTGTAGTAACTAAAATTAAAAGTTGAATATAAAAACCTTTTATTACAAATATTTTTTCATATATCTTAGAAAATTGTGTACAGGCATTTTAAAAACAAAAATTCGTGTGCTGATTTAATTGATAATAATTCAAATATTTTATGCTGGTATTGAATAATTAGGCGATTATCGAAAAACAAACCCTAACAAAGAAGTTGTACAATAACGTCGGCTAGATATAATATAAAAGTAATGCAGCCATATACAGGTGAGATATACATACATGCACTATATATCGGGAGGCAGGTGGAAATTAATTAAACCCGACAAATAAAAAGCATGCAAATAGAATTTTTGGAAAAATAAATTAATTGTTGTAACAACCAACAACAACAACAACAAACAACCAACAGGCAACAGGCAACAACAATGGAGCAAATTGTTGATCCCACGTTACGATATGACAAATAAAATGCAACCGACTAATAAATAAAGGAACAACTGAAAGCTAAATACAATGCCAAATACTAAATACTAAATACGAAATACTAAATACTTTTATTGCAATTGTTCTAAATAAATAATGAGCACAACTGTACGCCGAATGCAATTGGCAAAAATGGGTGGGCGAGAGAGAGGTGTGAGCGAATTATAAAATCTAATCACCTTTGTTTAAAATTTAATGAATGCAATAATTTTCAGAGGATTTCCCAGCTGCAAAATCATCAGCAGGCGAGGGGGAGGGGGAGCGTTCGGTAATTGGTGACAGCCGGATAATTGTGGAAGCGCGAAGCCCAAATATGCTGGCCATAATAAAAATAATACATATAAAAAAAACACACACAAAAACTAAATACGAAATACAAATAAAACGGATTTGTATCTGTTAACGCAAATGCCCCGCCATCCCCCGCTGCTTCTATGGACATTAAAAAACAAAAACAAAACTCTGAAATGACAAACAAAAGAATTTTAATTTTATGTTATTTACCCATTGCAAATATCCCAGCAGCATCCTGGCATCACAGCACAAATGGCCTCAAATGCTGCCAAACAACAAATATTTAATGCTTTCATAAAAATCGCACAATTTATTTAACAAATTGACCATTTCAACATTTTTACCGACAATGAGGTTAATTTGTATGTGTGTGTGTCTGTGCTTGAGTGTGTGCGAGTGATACAATGAAACCAAAACCAATTCAAACTCTAGGTGAAACAGACAAATGTACATAGAAATAGATAGGCTATACATACATACATATGTATATATATATATGCGAACATATTTGCCTAATCTAGACAGACTTTTCTGGAACAGTTAGTATTAGTGTTGCTCAATGCATGTTACTGCAGTGTTGGCTAACGTTATTAGCAGATTAAAAGTCCTATTCATACATGTTTTGCTTTTGCTTAGACTTCTAAGGAAGTCTCTTAATCTGATGAACGAAGGATTCGTTATGCAAATCAAGTCGTAACATTTATCTTGAATAGTGTTGATAAACGCAGCACTTTGTCCTAAGATTATGACATTCGTCTGATCATGTTTATAAAGTTTATATAAAAATAGGGAGAGATAAAAAAAATTTTGTTTTTATTGTTTGCAAAGAACAAATTAAATAATAAATAAAATAATAAATACATATACATATATACAAATATTTCTTTTTTAAATTGGTAATAAAATAGTGAAAATAAATATATTTTTATTTTTTAAACAATATGTAGTTTTTCTAACAAATTTTAAAAATGTCATTATTTTTTATTTATTTACTTTTTAATCATTTTTATTATATAAAAAAAAAAAATTATATTTTATTTTTCTGAGACATTCAACCAACCATATTTGCTGAAATGTTTTTACTTTATTTTATTTATTTATTTTTTTTTTTTTTGATGAAATGTTTTTATTTATTTTTATTATTATTTTTTTTTTTTTTGATGTAACATAACATACTAAATGCATTGAAGTATTGGCAGTGAAGGTAAAAGTATATTACGAAGAGAAATATTCACTTGTTAGACCTATATTAGTGTTGCCTAACGCATCAGTCAATCAATCAATCAGAGCAAACAGACTGTTTAGAATTATTGTCCATTCAAGAAATAATTATATCGCAAATGAGGCGTAATATGCACCTGGTTAGCCGCACAGCGTGTATGCATTGCCAGTGTTGGGCAATGCGCACATAATTGCAATGAGAGACAGAGAGAGAGAGATAGTGAGACGGAGGATGTTGACGTTGTCATCAAAATAAAAATTAATTATGCATTCTATGCGCTGCATTTGAATTGCTTTTGTTGTTTGTTACTGTCATTTCAATTTTGTCCTTTTTTGCAGTCCCCGCTGCTGCCGCTGCTGCTGCTGCTGCTGTTGATGCTGCTCTTGATGCTGATGCAGTTTTGTGCGGGATTAATGTGGGATTAAAGCGGCAATGCGTAGTTTTTAGCATTTGGATCTGATAAAGCGCTGGCGCAAATAAATTACAAATATAATAATTAAGCAGCGCATTATTTCTGACAAAACAAACGCACGCCCACACAGCTCCGCCTCCGCCTCTGCCCCCATCGTGTCCTGCGTAATCGCATCGGCAATCGGAGCTGAAGTGGGCGCAATGCGAGAGCAAAATGCATTTGTGCATAGGAATTAATTACGCATAATGACAATTTGATAAAATTGAAAAATTACATATTATTTAAATTGATTTATTGTAATTAAAAATTCTGTAATCGGGAATATGGAAATTTCTAAACTAAACTGGACATTCCGCGTTCCTATTATTCAATAATTAAACCGAACTGAACCTAAGTTTCATTCAGATAGAATATATACGAGATTTTATGCTTTAGCCATTGCAGCAAATTGAATTTTCCGCGCTTGCCTGGGGCGCTGGGCTTCTTCTTTGGCTGAGGCTGGGCCTGGTTATCAATAGCTTCGACATCGATGACACAAGCTGCCGATTGGCTCACTGCAGAGTCCTCGATAAAGGCAGCATTTGTGGACTCGATGCGGATCTGGAACACGGGACTCTCTGGCTTCACGCTGACGAGTATATCGGCACCGTAGCCGATCTTCTGGCCATCGTAGCTGAGCGCCATCTCGCAGTCCATCAGGCAGTAGTACTTCAGATACATCAGATCCGAGCTCGTGAAGCTCTTGTCCACAATGTACCCGATATCGAGAAAGAAGCGATAGACCAGAGCGGCGCACTCCAGCCGATAGCCACTGACGGCTACCCAAAAGCCACTCCCCACCTCCTCGCTAGCGCGGCTCGTCCTCTGCCCACCCTTGATGATGGCCATGGATGTCAGCGTCTGCTTCTTGGCCGTGGCCTCGATCTCCGTATGCTCCTCGTAGACAGCGACGAATGGCGGCAAATAGTTCTTAGCGGGACTACCCTCGATGTCCTTTGCAGCTACTCTAGACATGATTGTTTAGAAGAATATGATTTGAGAGGATCTATTAATCTATTTGGAATAGTTATGTGACATGTTTAGGAAGGAGTACATACTGAACACAAATCTGACATATAATGCTAGAAGAGAGAAGCTTGAAATGTGAAGCTGACAAAAGCTCAAATTGACGTGACTCCTAGAGATGAAATGAGATGACGAAACCAGATAGGTTAAGAAATACAAGAGAATTTGGATTGAGATGAGGCAAGACAGTATATGGAAAGATGAGAGTAGATATAGACAAGAAACGACAGAAGATCGAGGATATGGGAGAGAAACAGAACAGACTTAGGCGAAGAGAGAAAGAAAACTAAACGAGATGAAATACAAAACTGAAAATGTTAGCTCCAATCTTCAGAAGTAGCATTCGAACAAAAATGAGTAACAGAGTGTGACATAACAGACTTTTGGCTTCATTTAACATAACCCTACCGTCGGGAAATAGCTAGAGCGAGTATTTTAGACTGATCACGAACGAACTCGTCATAGAACCGACGCCAACGGTTGCTCTCTGAGTTTGTTCTCAGAGTGTGAGTATAGCTAGTAGGCAAAGAACTTATAGCTCTCTGTAACTTAACATAACTGTCTAATAACAGTATGTTTACAGAGCACGGCTACTATCCTGTTAACTATAATGTGCCCACTCTACAGTTCATTTCTGTACTTCAGCAATATGTCTCTAAGTTTTGGAGGTACCAGGCAATGTTAGTCAGCAGCATACTGAAAAATGCTGGTTAACAGTATGTTAACAGGTAGAGCAATAAAAACCACTCAGCTCGTCGTCCTAAATAAGATTGTATACACTTTGTGCTGTCTGCCACGCCTCCTTCTGTTTGCTACATACCATTTAAGATTCGGATTCCAATTTCATTAATATTAGTCAAACTTAACTTGAATTCGAATAACAAGCGTTTTTTTATAGATGAATATTATCTATATTTTAATTAGGTTAAAGTAACTATTTTATATTCATTTAAACAGCAAATATTTCGAGGTGAATCCCGATTCCTAATTGCGTCAACTCCATTAAGCACTTGATCTATATTTAGCCGCAGCAACTGCTTAAAAAGTGATTAAACAATGCGTTTTTCCTTTTCTTTTGGAATCTAATCAAAATTGAAATGGAAATCAAATCGAGCTGGCGGCAAGATCAAAAGCTCCCTTTCCGTTCCACAAATCGTGCTCTATTTACAATATCGAAATTTGGCTGTCTATAAATTTGATCAAATGGAACAAGTTCAAAGTGAGATCGAAGCAATAAAATATTAAAAATTACAGTTATAAATATATATGCTTCTCTTTCGACTGGGCCCAGAGATGCTCAGGTGTGTGCCACAGGCGAGGCGCCACAAAGTGGTTGCCACCCACACAGCCAAACAAAGCTGCCGACAGCGGAAGTATCCATCAAGGCAGCCAATTGAGGGAGGCCATCAAGAGGCACCCAAAAGATTAAAGATTAAAGACGAAGGGGAAGGGGAAGGCGAAAGCGAATGCAATGTATCCGTGACTTCAAACGGGGGTCTGCAATGCTGATGCTGTTGTTGTTGTTGTTGTTGTTATTGTTGACGAACCTGTTGATGCCCTCTAATTATAATTGATATTATCTAATTGAATTATGTATGTAGTTTCCATGTATTTGTTTATTTGGCGGTAGCGGCGGCGGCGGCCTTTGAACTTGCGACTCGATTGAACTCGAGTGCGAACTGATGGATCAGTTATTGCGATATATACAGATAGTACGTACACATATACATACATAGATATACATATGTATATATGTGTTAAGCATGCGTGAATCATAATTTTTGGCCCAGTTTTCGGCTCAGATCAAAGACGATTTCCTTTGCTTAGCTGATAAAATCCAATGAGCGATTCGATAATTAGCTGTGATCTATCGATTCATGTGCTAAGCAATTATCGATTCAGGCAATCAGGCAATCGTGTGATCAAATGTTGAACAATGAGCGATCCAGAGATACCCTACACTTATAAACTTGAATAGTATATTAATGATTTTTAGGATTCTAAAATTGTATATATATGAAACAAAACTGCATATCTTTAATGATTTCTTATTGAATTTTTGCGAATGGATGTACTATATTTTAAATATAAAATTTGTTTATATGTATATCATTCAATATATGTATGTATGTCACTATGTATATATTTCCATTTAATTTTTTTCATGGTACATCATTTTGATGTAAATCAATGCAGAAAGAAAGAAATTTTTATTATATTATATTTGACCAAAATTTCTTTTACATATTTTTTATGAAAACAAAAAAAAATAATAATTGTATAATATTAATCAATCATCAAACTCATTGAAAGCAATTATTAAGCATATTAATATTTTATACAAGTAAATAAAGATACAGATACAGAAATAATAACAATGATTTTTCTCTTTTATTGCGTCACATTGGTTGAAATCTCACATTCTAACGGCTGCAAGTCAAAGGGATTTGATTTAAACAGTGATTAGGGCAATGGGGAGGTCGCAGTCACTGCTGCTGTCGCTGCAGCAGCTGGCGTCGCTGCTTAGCTGTTTGCCGGCAAAAGCTTGCACATGCAGCGACCTCCTGCACCCATACACGTGCTAGTCCATGTCTGAGTTCCCGTTTGTTTGTATAGGAGCGCTCAACAGAGCGACAACAATAACAAACTCTCTCGCTCTCGTCGTGAGCACAGTTTCAGCGTTACGCTGAGCACGAGAGCGCGACGAACAGTTGCCAATTGGTTTGTGCTCTCTCGCGCTCTTTATTTCCCCTTTTGCAGACGCTGCGCTGTTCCATTGCCAGCGCGTTTCGCATTTCCCCAGCGCATTACCCCTGCTAGCAGACATTTGCGCTCTCTCTATGTGTTCTGTTTTAGTTTTGTTTTGATTTCCCCTGTTTAGCTGTTGATACACTGCTCACACTTGTCTGAGCAGCGCCTCGTGCCATCTCGCTCGTGCACCCAATGAGCTGGGCTAGCTGTGCGGCATGTCACGTTTCTTGTTTTTGTTGTACTGTTTTTTTCATTTCTTTTGATTTTGCCTGCCTTCCCTGCTTAGTCGTGCTGTGTGCGTTAATTGTTGTTGCTGTAGCTACTGTAAACACGCACACACATACGCAATGAAATACACACACGAAAGGTTGACATGTTTTATAAAGCTTTTTTTTTTGCATTTTTCTCTTTGACATTTTCCAATCGTCATTCGAGATGTGCCCCGACTCTAATTGAATACATTGAATATTGATATACAGATAGAGTAATCGATATCGACTTTGTTTAAAATATATTTTTTACATTTACTGTTGGATATGAGAACTTACAAAACAAAATTAAAATATTTAAAGATCAAATTGAAATTTCATTATTAGCACCAGCAATCTTTTTTTTTTTTTTATGTCAAATATAAAAATTATATGTATGTATTTACCAAGATTATCGATAAGCTTTAGCTCAAATTTAATTACGATATATTATAAAATAGTACAGGGAATATCCATGTTACAACTTTGAAATAACTGTAAATTTATTGACTTGTGGAATACACCCCGACTTATTTATAAAATTCCAAAATATGATTACCGTTATCGAGACCTATTGAATTTACAGTCATAAGCAGTTTCACTATTCTGCCTGGGAACAGCCCTACTATTTCTATTTAGCGCAACGTGAAATGAACGATTAATCGGTTGCAATAGAGCTGTACGAATTCTCAACGAAATGAGCTGTTTAAGGGGCAAATGCGGATGCTACGCGAGGAGTCCGTGGGCAAGCGACTCGGACCTTGGCAAGCGATTCCAGAGATTCTCCGCAGCGTGTGGCAGCTGTGTGTGCCGCGCTGGCTACGCCGGGGCGGACGGGACGCGGGCCTGTGTGGGCAGCGGGGAGAGGAAGCCGGTGCCGGAGCGGATTGAATGGCTCAGGAGGTATCGAGTGCACCTGGCGGACGGGAAGGACTGCGACTGCCGAAGCGCCTCGCCCGAGGAGTACTGGTACGGCACGAACCGGCAGAACCTCGTGGCCCTGAGCCAGACACTCGAGCTGCCCGTCGACCGGGTCGCCGACTTCCTCTACACACTGACCATGCAGAACTTCTCGCGGATGCTGAAGCCGCGCTCCACCTGCTTCGACTGCCGCGTGCCGCTCTGCAAGGGCGACCCCTGCACCCTGTACGCCAGCGTCTTCGATGACGAGGGCAACGTCCGGAATCCCTTCGGTCCGGGTACGCTGGTCGAAGTGCTGAGGGTCCTGCAAATGGTGGTGAGGGAAGGCGTTGACGAACCTCCGAACGCCAAGAAGCCCACGAGCACTCGGAGTACCAGAGTCAAGCAACTACGGGACGAGAAGCAACAGATCTACGCTCAGAAACCTCAATTGGACGAGAAGCTCCAGATCTACGCTCCAAAGAGGCTTCTGACTCACATCTACGCCTCGAGCCCCTTGGACTATAGGAACGCGCCCTTCGCGACCGCTCCCGTCGAGCCGCAGCCATCGAGCGTGCACCTGAGACAACTGATAAGCCACATAAACCGCGTGAGGGGCACCGAAGTGGATCTGGCACAGTTCCTGGAGAAGACCGACCTGGACGCCGCCCTCCCCGCGCAAAAGCGATTCCATAACCTGACCAAATACGAGGTGCCCAAGGTCCACAAGAAGCTCTCCGTGCATCAGGACGGTGTTCCCACTGAGAAACGTAAACAAAAATGGGCCGATCACATGTACCTTGGTGAACAGATTCCCGTGCTGATGCACAAACCCTTCAATCCCAACGAGCGGCAGACCTACTTGCGTCGCCATCCCGCCTCGCTGCGCATGAATCAAGATGGCTGCGTGGTCAACAGCAAGAACGTACACCGCTACAGACGGCGAAGCGTCGAGAGGCTCCTGCGAGAGGCGCGCAAGAGAGCATCGATACACTCTATAGTCACCGTGAGCCCAGACAACTTAAGTTGTTCGCGTAAACGCAAAAGGAAACCAAAGGCAAAGTAGGGAGCTGACCAGTATTTCAATCCTATCGACCAAATGAATCGAAATCTGTGAATAGCTCTCAAAGGCGTAGCTCTGATACATGAATTGGATTGTAGGTCAAGGAGAGACCGTATCTTGTAGACCCACAACACACGGTCTCTCCTTGATCTAAAGCGTAAATCTCTCCTTAAATGCAATCCAATTCAAGCAGCAGACTTACGACCTACCTCTTCCATAAAGAGCAGTTTGAAACTGTCTGTACTCTTCCTTGCATTCCATCTATTCTTCCATTTCCTCAATGTAAATATCATCTACAGTTTAATGCAGATCTCCACAAATAAATCTAAGTGGAAATCTTTTCAGTATTTCACAATTTAAGAGTCTTCTTATAATTTATAAACATCTATAGAATTGTCATGCCAATTTAGAAAGTGAAAATATATATCGTATATCGTATTCCACATATAATTTATTTTCATGTATTTCTATAGAATACGCCCAATACGATCATTGAATTATGTATTACACTCTGCAATATCAATCGTGTATTATGAATCGCTTTTATCGTATATCGTAAATTTGAATCTAAACAACAAGCGTCATACATCGAATTTTGTATATCGTAAATGCTTTATGGTACATCATTCAACCACCATTCTTCAACATATATCATACATCGTTTTTCACCTATCATATACCATATATTTAAATATTTCGAATATCGTAAATAGTTTATCGTAAATATATAAATCATTCATTCGGCATTTATAATTGTCTATCGTACATACTTTTTATCGTATATCGTATATTGTATATCGTATATCACATATCGTATTTCATAATGAATAATGCTGACAATGCTCGGAACTATTTCAGTTCTCTGTTTAGCCAAACGCATCGCTTGAGCTCGAATCTTGGCGGCAGGCATAAATTGGCATGGAAAATCCAGGTAAAGCTGCCAGCGCAGCTGCCCCCCTAAATCATAACGCCGATGGAGCCACAGCGAAAGGCATTCATCCATCGAGCTCCATTCCGACTCGCATTTATTTTTAGCCTTCGCTCGCCCATCGAGGCCCCAGCGCTGCGCCTCTTAAAACATATTTTTGTGATTTGCTTTATGACGTGTGGTAATTTGTTGGCTCGTTAAGTTGCTTTAATAGATCCGCGGCAAGGCGTCGCGCCGCACCACAGCACCACCGTATCACTGCACCACCACTGCTAGAAATCAAATCCACAAGCCGTTTAGGGCTGCATTTCCTTTCTGTTGATGCAACGCTAAGTTCTCGACTGCACTGCTCAATGAAATGAGTAAGAATGGACTAAAGGGCTCAATGATCGACTACAAGATACCCTTCTTAAGGTATGAAATAAAATACTGTAGAAAATATATACAAAATATTTATCTAAAACCGTGAAAATTGTCATAAAAAAAATTAAAGAAATAGAAATATTCTCAACCAGCTTCTCACTGAATTTTAGTTCGACCCTCAATCAGTCAATAATTACATTAGTTAAGCAAATTTAGGTTTCTTCTCAAATTCATCTTATTGAATTTATTTTGAAGTGAATATACCCAATTTTAAGCATTCTATGTTAACAGGGTATTTCTTTTATGGCCCACCAAAGAGAAATGCTTTTTATTGCA